TGGCTTCTGTTGACTTACATTGAAAAGTCAACAAACTATGCCACACTCACCAATTTTGGATTAAAAAATCTGTGGTATAACGCTTTCTATGATTCTGCTTTTGATTTTTCAGCCATATAAGGATTGACACATCAGATGCTTTTACTCCCAGGGGAAACTCCAGTTTGCCTTAGCAACCGTGTTAGCAACATGTCTGTCCCTATTCTGATGCAAAGCTAAAGGCAGCGGAAGAAATGCCCATCTACGGAAATGGGGTTCAGCTAGCTCATGTTCAAATCGGCCTCTTCCCCATTATGGTAATCTTTAGAACAGCATTTTCAGACAGAAACATGAAAAAAGGGGGACCACCTTCACTCAGCCAATCAGCTTTCAGCACAAAGCATGAAATAGCCTTTCACAGGACTTTCTGACGTATGCAAAAGATAAAATGTTTAGTTATAGTTAAAGACAGCATGTTGTGGTCTGATTTGTTCACAACATGTTATGTTTCTCTTTCCGTTTGTGACAAACAAAATGTATAATTTATGAAACAAAACATTTCTAATGTGCTGCATGCCATGGTCACTGAAAAATTTCCCCGGAAACTGGTTTGTTGTCGGTAGGTTGCTAGGAAACAGTACCAGATATTAAAGTGTAATTGAAAAGCAAACCAGTTGAAAAGAACCAAGTAGGTCTGGTGGAAACAGGGCTTAAATATGAGACGTCACCTTTACCTTTAAGTATGTCATTTATAAAGGTGACCTATTTATTTGATTGACCAAAGTTACACAAAGCACTTAACACTTTTGTTGTGCCAAAAGTTCATTCACTCCACAGAGTAATCAAACAAAATTGTGTACAGAAAGTGTTCACAGGCAGACCTCTCGTGTTTCTATAGAGCCAATTTCTCTTGGAATTTACCACATGAAATAAAAACAAAGTCACAAAGTCTTTGTCAGGATATACATTGGTCTACATCAGGTATGTCAAAACTAAGGCCCTCAGGCCAATTGTGATAATTTTATGAGGCCCTCTGTCTTGCTGACTTTAAGTAGTCTTTGAGATCACTAACACAAGTTAACAATGTCATCTAACCAACTTCAGCTATCCCAATCCTGGCACGTTGTACCTTGAGGTAATTTTCAGAGCCTCTAGGATTCAGTTGTTGACATTCTATCTGTATATACCGACATTTGTTTTTGATTCTGAGGTGGTCATTTGTTATTCAGCCAAAATAAGCTCTAATTATAGCTAATTGTAAGGCTTAGAACTGCCCAAATCCACAAGTTCCACAAGTCTGGTGAACCAAAGTGGCCCTCTTACTGAAACGTTTGGACACCCCAAGTCTAATTATTACTGTATCTCATATCGATGTCGAGATGCAGAACCATCACCATCCGTTCACGCACTCATTATATTCAGAGTGATTGTACAGGTTTTTAGTGGTAGGAGAAACCAGAACACCCAGGAGACCTATACAGAACATGCAAAATCATAGAAAGACCCTGTTCCGACTGCAATTCGAATCCAGGACCTGGATTGAGGGCTACCACCTCATTCAGCCACTGTGCTCCCCTAGTTCCATATCTAATGGAAATTAATTCATTTTGTGTATAAAATGGCCTAAATCATTGTTTTTAGGAGGTAGACTTGAACCCAGGGCCTTCTTGCTCTGAGAATTTAAATATTGTTCCCCTCAAACAGCCTCAGATCTGGAAATTCCCCTCTCTTGGCTCATAATTACAACCTCGCTGCGGTCAAAGGAAACTTCTCGAAAGCATGGTCTCATTGGTCAGACGTGTCCTTTTCATTTATGTTTGAGATGATATTCTTGCAGGGAGTTTGCCTCAGCCCAGCTCCACACCGGCTGCTCCCCCAGACTTTGGACACTCTTTATCACTGCACAATCACCCTCCATCAGCAGCATCATAAAGGCAGCTGTAAAATAACACTCAGATCTGTCCCGTACACAATTCAAGCAAAGATAAAACACAGTTAAAGCTGGGGTATCTAACTTGTCTAAATAAAATCTGTTTCATTAATAAAAGATAAGATTTCTTACAACAGGAGGAGTACTTGTAAGAACGCTGTGTGAGTCACTATTTGACTATTTGGGCTGAGAGCGAGGGTGGGGCTCTCTTTTGTCAAGTTTCTCTCTGAAAAAGCTGATGTGACAGAGGCCAAAATACATGCATGTGAAAAATAGTGATAGAAGCAAACTGTTTTGAAAGCTATGTATTTTATTATGTAGTTAATTATTTGTAGTTTGGAAATTAACTATGAATCAATGAATTATTGATATTTATGTATTTCTAATAGGGCTGTCAAACAATTAATTTTTTTTAGTTGATTAATCGCATAGTAATGGTGAGTTAACTCACAATTAATCGCATTTTTAACATTCTATTTCAAATCCACTCCAATTGAAGTTGTAATGACACATTGTTATTCATATCAAACTTAAATCTGTTTGACTTGCTCACAACCTTCTACTTTTGGGTACAACCAACAAGAGCTGTTAATGAAAGGGAAAATGTAGGTACCCCAGCTTTAATTTTGCGAGTTTGGTTGCATTTCAGCGTGTCTCCTCCTCTACTCCGTGTGTCACACAACATCAGAGAATGGCCCCTGTGCGTGTATATATATATACGCGTATTATATGACCACGTTACCGCTTTCACCATCACACACACACACACGTACGCGGCATTCTGAGTGATATTATTATAAATGGGCGGGTCATTCGAACATGCGTACAAAGTTAATTATTTTTTAACGCATTAATGAAAACGGTAATTAACGTGAATTAACGCAATAATTTTGACAGCCCTAATTTCTAACTATAAATATAGTATACAGAGTGTCATTTGAACCATAGGCCAGTCTTATAGCTCCCAAAATATTCAGACAAAAATTGACTGCAGGTGAAAGCCAGATTTTGTCAGACTTCTGGAGCTAAGCAGGGAAGGGCCTGGTTAGTACTGTGATGAGGGATGTTCCTCAGGGAACACCAGGCGACACAATGGGGCAGCTGTGGCTGTAAAGTGCCAAACTATGCAATCACAGTTGCCTTAATTCTCTTAAATACCCCAGGGCAGCTACAGACTCAATAGTAATTTATAACCAGTGTGTACAAATGAATGATGCCATGTGAAGCCAAAGTAGGGATTTATAATTGTACAATAATTGTCAACAAACTACTGAAGTCCTATTTCAAACACAATAACAGTAGATTTTCCACTCAAGCGTAAAAATGCTTTAGACAAGGTTAAGACAATGTTTGCAAGTAAGTAATCTTAGCGTATTTCACAGACCAAGGTCACACCTTACGATATTTAATATCAATATTTTCCCATTTCCTCCACACACACAGTAAAGACAGAGGAGAGACGCCAAAGACTCTGACCCTACGCAGACATGGGGAGAACATGCAAACTCCAGATAGAAAACCCCCGTCTGGAGGTGGAATTGAACCCAGGACCTTCTTACTGTGAAGCACAAGAGCCAACTCACTTTATATGTTAAAGCATGGTGTATTAAATTGTTACATCCCAATAGAGACCACTAAATGAGCCTACACAAGGCTAGTACACCCGGCTCCAATTCGTCCGTGGCTGGCAATGTAAATTAATCAACAATCACATGTTGTATCAAAAAGAATGAAAGAAGCCCATTCAAACAATCCTCCTTTCATAACCAGCCATTCATTTGCTTCTATTCTGGTGTGGAGAGACACAGGAAACCCATGCGGAGGCGACTTCCCATTTTGCCGAGCGTGCCAGCGAACAGGGGACTTTGGATCAGGTGTAAAGAACGTTTAAGAAAAGATAGAAGGGAGAAATGCCACCTCAGCGAAGGACTTTACACGCAGACAAATCACTCAGTCAAAGGCCCTGAGCACAAATATTTCACTATGAAGACGCCACTGTCCAGATGTCATGTTGAGTTGGGATTGACGAACAATCACTGTCGAGCAGGGGAGCAGTGAAGCCCTGTTATCACTATTGGCACTTGTCCAATGTGCGATTTTAATGAATACAAATGCAAAACATGCGGATGTCAGTGACAAGGCCAAGGAGAAAGGTCCTATTATAGGCTAATAGTATTGTAATAGTAGTAGTAGTAGTAATAATAGTACTATTAGTATAATAGCAGCAGCAGTAGTAGTAGTAGCAATACTACAAGTAGTATAAAAGCAGTAGTAGCAGTAGTAGTGATCGTACTAGTAGTATAATAGCAGCAGAAGTAGTAGTAGTAATAACACTACAAGTAATATAATAGCAGTAGTAGTGGTAGGAATAATAATAGCAATAGTATCATCATCATCATCATCAGCAGTAGTAGTAGTATTTGTCGTAGCAGTAAAAGTAGTAGGAGCAGCAGCTAAGAGCAATATAAGTAGAAGCAGCAGCGGCACTAATAGTAGTAGTAGTAGTAGTAGTAGTAGAAGAATTCTAGTAGTAATTGTCAGTGCGTGTGATTATTAGGCAGTGTAACTCTTAACAAACCCCTGTAGCGACACGTGTGTGATACACAAACACTTCTACTTCACTCTAACAATATTTTCCTCTTCCTTAATATTTGTTGCACAAAGTCCTCCCAACACTAAAATAACTCCTCGTGTTGGACACTGCAGGTTGGAATAGATTTCCCCACCTCCTGACCTGTTGTGAAACCCGAATATCATGTTTACTACAGACTTATAACCGCCTGTGTTTTGGCCGGCGCACTTCCCCATACTTCTTCCATACGTTTGTGAATGAAAATAATACAAAGTACTCACAGCGTCGATTTCCCATGGCGCAGACAGAAAGCAGGTCCACCAATGTGCGACAAAAGTTGAGGTCAAAGCAGAGAAAAGGCAAGAATTAGATACAAACTTACTCCACATTCACATTAATGCACCGTGTTATGACTCCACAAACATCTGCATGGAGTCTGCTCGAAATTTGTTGAGTTTTCAAGGCATTCTAAAACTTTTTGTTGTCAAAGTCAAGATTATAATACATCCATAAGCTTACCTGACAGACGCGTCTTTACGCACGCGTGGAGCCTGGTTCCAGTACCTTTCTGGTGGCCGTCCCAGTGGAATAAAGACCAAGCACCTGTGGATCTCAGCGCTGGTAAACTACACAGCGACACTTGGAGCGAGTGATCCCCGCCCCGCCGAGCTCCAGACACAGCAGAAACGCCCACATCCACACGCACAGCAGCGGCCTGTGCCCATAGACTGTATGCCGTACCCAGGCTGTTCAGGGCTTTGTGCGGTGCTGCCTCCCTGTGGTTGTGGATCATAGCTTCTGCTGGTGACAGTGTGGTCTAGGAACGCAAGAGGGAGCTGTCAGGCCGTGTTTCGACAGGTTGTACGTTTAAAATGAAGATTAAGAGGAAGAGATCCTTTATTCGTCCCACAGTGAGGACATTCCGGTGTTCAGTTACAGAAAAGTAGGATTGAGGAACACACAAGATAAGTGAAAATCAATCATAACACACCTCTTTATTTAAATAAATATGAATAAAAATTTCAAGTCAATATTTATCTTTTGTTTAAGAAAGAAACAAAGCGTATAAATATATACGTTATAGGGCATGGTACGGCCTTATGCCTAAAGTGATTGTCTGGCCAGTTTGTCAGAAAAAAAGAGAGGGAGGTACATGATTTGAAAAAAACGAACCAAGCTCCCTCCCCCTTCCTTTCTGATTTCTGTGCAAACGCCAGGTCAATGGTCCACGACGTGCGAGGAGAGATGATCAATTTAAATATTCGAATATATTCGAATATTTAATCATAATTCGTTATACAGTTCCTCACAGCAGCAGTAGAATGCTTCATTGATTTGAATGTAATTTCAAAACGTTCTACCGATCATCATTTCTTGATAACGGACCTCTCAAATCAATAATGAGCTCTGCTTTTTGGCAACGTAATCTGTGCCAGTAATTCAGGTGTGTAAGATTCAGATTCAGATCCAGATTCAGTTTATTTGCCATTTGCAGTAAAAACACCACATAGGAATACATTAGCAAAAGTCTCCAGTGTGCACAGACAAATACAGACATAAAACAACATTAAAAGACAGAAATAAAACAAATAAAACAGTAAACAAATGTCACTGTGAAATCGATCGACTAAAACAGTTTCAAAACAAGTGCAAATCATTAAAGTGCTCTGTTCACACTGATAACAGCTTGTGGATAAAACTGTTAGCGTAACGAGATGTCCTGCATCTCAGAGAGCAATATCTTCTGCCAGAGGGAAGAAGCTGGAACATGGCTTTCCCAGGGTGGCCAGAAGAGTCATTAACAATCCTAAGAGCTTTGTTTAAAAGTCTGGATTTATAAAGAACCTACAGAACAGGAAGCTCACAGCCCACGGTCCTCTTTGCAGAGCGGAGCACCTTGTTTAAAGCTCTCTTTTCTTTATCTGTGATGTTTCCAAACCACACAGACACAAAATACTAAGATTACGCCCATCACAACAGGGCTTTCAGCGCCTGACACAAACCACTACGGTCTTTGAGAGAGAAGCTATCGGAGCTAGCCACGCTCAATATCCCAAATATCAATCAACACATTTAAATGTTAATCGGAGAATACATTATAAATATACATTCTTAACACACGTGCACAGAGGGTTTCAGAATTGTCTTTTAAAGTTTTTATGACAAAAATTAGACAAAACATGATGAGTAAACCCGGATGTAACTATTAATATTAATTGAACATTTTAGGACACATTTGCAGAGATTGATTTTATATTTGGGTTACTCACCGCTGATGTTCAGAATTCTTTGTTCGGTTTTCATGTAGTTCCAGAGCCTGATGGAGGCTTGATTCGGAGGCTCCGTAACAAACAACCAGGAGGTCAATTCATGGATGTATTATATTAACTGGATAGGGTATTACATGCTTGGAGCTGAATAACTCATGTGCTCGGGGGATACTCACGGTACTGCAGACTAAACCAGACTAAATTCACGTGGGCTACCCAGAAATTTTCCCCATGGAACTCAATGTAAACTAAAACAGCTCAACCTCAGCTGACAGAGAACCTACAGCTTTAATAAAGATCGGATTTTGTGGGGATTTTAGTGTCCCTTGTCATCCTGAACTTTTTTTCTTCTTAAATCCTTCGGTTTTCTTTAAATCCACACTTTAGTGCCACAAACTCTGCTCGTCTGGCTCTCGCTCTAACTCCCGCTCTGATGACCTGCTCTGATTGGTCAGAGCGCGGCCGAGACCCTCTGTGCGCGTGCGTGACAGCCGCACACGCGTATTTCGCGCAACGCATCATGGGAGTTCATCCACTGCGCAGAACCGGGAGGACAAGACGATGCCCAAATACAGGCGAGTTTCCCATAGATCTTTGCGAGTTCCAGCCAAGTTCCGCTAATATGTCAGCAAAGCGCCACTGAGCACAGACCAATAATTTGAATACGGCGCCATCTTGGATCGCCGAGGCTTGGGTCAATTTAATACAATTCTTAAAATGTCTAATTCATTTATGCCGTGTTCAGACTGGATCATGCGTTGCAAAGTCAATAGTGACGCGCGTTCGAGCGTCAAAACGGAAAGTCTAAGGGGAGGAGCAGGAGCGGAAAATTCATGCACGCAGGAGATGAATTTGGCTGAACCTTTCCTCGGGACGCTCGTGCAGCAACCAATCAGAGAGCCGCAAAGTGGTCACGGGGACAGAAGCAGTCTGAGCGAGCAGACTGAACATACTCGTAAACAGCCAAAGCAGGAGCTACATCAGGACTAAACCAGGGTTGACAATGGGGGACATAGTGCTTGTTAACATGTGAGTTTTCATGCTCCCGTGACTTTATGCAACTGCTTCGAGTGTGTTCGCCGATGCGGAAGTACCGTTTAATAATAAAATAAACTTATTGCGCACCTCCGTGAACACATACTACTGTTATATAAAGTCTGTGGAAGGTCTCTGAACACAGACACGCTGCAAAGCTGCATTATTGGAGAAGATCTTTACACAAGAAGCCGCTAGCTAAACTAGCCCGCTGGCTACTTCCACCACTTCTGGCGCGCGCCAGGACTTCTGGTCTGAAGACCCCTGTGTCTGAAAACTAGAAAATGTGCGTTTCAGCGTTGGTGGTCTGAAAGCACCATTAGAGTTCCAGACTACCATTGCTCCCTGTTTAGTGTGTTAGAGTGTGTGTGTGTGTGTCGAGATTCCTTATCTAGTTGGAGAACCGCTGGCCCTCCCGTCTCCCGGAAGTGCGTGGCTGATTGGAAGAGCAGTTCTGCGCCTGGCCAATCCAGCTTCCCCACCTGGAGTATCTCCCACTTAAGGCCACACTCCACACCTGTTCGGGGCTGCCAGCCTGCGTGTGGCTGGTATGCCATTATGGTGAGGAAACACAAACCATCCCTTTACAGAGGAGGCGGTTTAAGATTTGTTCTGCCTCGCGTCTATGTCGGCGTTCTATAAACAATGCCCTAACTATAGGGAAGGTCAATGACGTGCTAATGAGTTAGGAGTGATTAGACTTGCACTCCACTCGAACAATCTCAGCAGGCAATAGGTCTGTGACATGCCAATGAGTTAGGATCGTTAGCCCAAGTTGGATCGTTAGACCTGCTCCTTACCACATCTTAACAGACCTTGATGTGTTTATGAGTTAGCCTCAGGATTAGGGTGTGGCTGACCACACCCACAGATCATAAATCTCCAATCTCCATGTCTTGTTACACATGACTGTAACGTGTAGTTGTGAAATGGCAGTACAAGTAGTACTGCCATAGTGCTGACCAAGATCTGACTTTTTTGCATTAGAGAACACAGAGAACGTAATCTGTCATTATGAAAACATGAGAGCGCATTTGACTGTCTTATTCATAAACACTGGTGTCAGGACATATTATTTTGATGACATAGACAGTTTAATTGACACGAAGACTTGCTTTTGAGGAATTAACTTTTCATTTTGAGAAAGGGTCGCACTTTTGCAGGTAATCCACAAGATGTTGCAGTTTGCACTAATTGTTCTGGGAAATGCACTAACTGTTGTGCAAATGTAAAGAGTGATGAGAGAAAATCACCAAAGCAACTGAGAAAAAATAAGAGAGCTAGGAGTTAGATGGATAATTTTTATTTGACTAAGTTTGAAAGTAAGGTTCTCCACCTTTAATCAATCTGTTTTATTCAGTGCAAGATGTGCAATTTCTAAATCCTTTGGAGATCTATTTGAAAGAGAGTGCAGATGGTGCACTCCCAGGTTGTGACCACTGACCTATATACTTTTCCCATTGGATGCAGTGAGGAGGAAAGGGTTTTATGGCATCATCAGGACATATGTTTGTAAAGCACTTGCAGAGCCTGACATTGTGCACTGGACAGCTCTAATGTTGTAAATGTTTATTTGAACTGAAATGAACCACGGATGGGCCTGCATGTGATACACCTGCACGGATACCTCATGGTTTATTGTAAAGAGATAGTGTAGTACTTGATAACTCAACAAACTTATATGTCAGAAAAATATCCCACTTCCTTTAGAAATAGACAGATAGATATTGCAGATAGATAGATAGATATAGATAGATGGATGGATAAATAGACTGATGAACAGATAGATAGATACATAGATAATAGATTGATAGATAGATATGGACGGATAAACACACAGATAGATAGATACACTGTTGACCTTTCATGACAATATGATCTGAGTTATTTATGCAGATATGTGAGAGTTATGACTGACGTCGTAAAAGCAGGATCTGTAATCCACTAAAGGTTGTTTTTGATTGTTTCTGCCGAAAAACCCATTGTGTTATCATTTATATAATTTGATGATGGACCTACAGCGGTGACTAATGATTATTGCCCTGCTAAGGGGTAATGAGATCGCCTCTGTGGCAGGATTGTGCAAAAATGACTGGACAGACTGAGCGGGTGGTTTGAAATGACACACAACACAGTGTTAATATAAGATGAAGGAATTTTTTGGGATGATCCGTGGCCTCGGTGGAGTTGGTGCTTGCCGAGTGCACATTCCAGTCAGTCATCTTTATTCAGCATGATTGAATCATTGGTGTGATTCACAAGCCAAGGTCACACAAATCGATTCATCTGGTAGTACCTACAAGACAACTACAATATTCTAATCAATTGATCCAGATAAAGCTGTCGTTAAGCCCCCCTGTGATTATCTTCACACATTCCCCCATTTCATCATAAAAAGACAAATATAAACACAAGTCCTTTGTTTGAGTCTTGAGTCTCTTTGCTCTGCACATACAGTACATGTGGTGCAGTCTGTACAAATGCCCTT